TAACTGCAGTGAAATCGTCAGATGAATGATCGTTTATATTGAAATACTTAGTACCATTATTACAAGTGTTGTACTTTTAAAAAATTAGTATAAGAACTTTAATCAGACTGTTTAGCAGCAGTAAGTTTAAAAATTCAGCAGTTTACAAACTTGTCGTGAGAAATGATTATTAACAAATTACTTAATAAAAGTTACTACATTAACGATATCTATGATCTTGAGTAATGACTTTGGTATACTTACTTAAATGATCATAACAACCTATTATCAGATTTTAACTTCTACATTAGGCCGACGTCTCTACTGCGCATTCATATTCTTCAATCTCGTGTATTAAGTGCGGTTTGTACTCCGTCAATTTGATCACTCCATTTGAAAGGGGACATAGTCTACATCTACGCCCTATTCATTCTCACAGCGAAGCCGCTAATTGTTATTTCGTTGAGTTATATCTATGTTGTAATAGAGCTTGTTTAGCTCGTGGTTTATTCGGATACGGTAGTCGTCGTCCACTCGTGGAGGACCAAAGATCTTACAAAGTACAATAATTTTAAACGCAGAAAGCAATGTCTCTAATATGTCGAGAGAAAGCTCTACATCCCAATAGTTATTGAGCACCTATAGACCTATAGTAACATCTATAGACAATAGTAATTCGACGACATCCAAGCTCTTATAGTTATTGTTCGTTACGACAGTGCCAAGATAGATCAAATTTTTAGCAACTTCGAATGAAGTTTTGAATAAAGGAAATATTTGTATGCGCTTTATATCATACACATAAAGTCGTCAAAAAATGGCTCAAAAGTTCAACAATGCAAAGTTTCGTTAAAAATATGTCAAGGAATCAAGAAGCATATCAGTCACTGTAATTTGTGACAGTCAAAATATTATTATAGCCAATACATACCGAAAATAGAATATTACAGTTCCGTATTGAAATGTGAAAGTCACTAGTATGGTTCATAAAGAGAGAATGCTAAAACTGCAATACCTACCTAATTTCTTGGATCCAAAAGAAAAGGTTAAAGAACTCATCTCAGAAAGGTATATGGTAAGCACAGAATATTATATGGAAATTCGTCTATAATTGTGTGTTTTTGTTGACTTCAAACGAATTATCGAACAGTCAGTTGTATTTTTATGCAAAATAGAGCACCATCGCGATAAGTTATCATAGTATGTGACATCTTAACTAGAATGGATAGATGTCATCAATCATTTACCATATCGATCTGCTTTAGCTTTTAGCAATTTTTAGTTAATCACCAAAATAAATTTGATTATAAAGTTAAGTTGAATTGATATCGTCCTGTTTATTCGCAAAACTTTGTCTCAGGCACGGAATCAGCAGTTTTGGATTGTTTTGGGAAGCTAAAGACATTTCTTCTTCCAAAATAAATCTTAAAAATGTATTTACGCATATATAGTTATATGATATCAGTACATCATATGTTTAAATGGTAAACAAAATTATATTCAGCAGTTTATCGAAAGTCACACCGCCATAAGATATACTAAAGACAACTCGGGCCGATAATTATAAGAAATGTTATAAAAGTTCGTTTAGTATTTAATATTATATGTTGTACTTGCATGTATTCTGAATAAGCAAGCTTATCATCGTTTCTGATGATAGTTCTACAAATCTAGATAAAGGAACCAATATGATAGTAACGTTTTAGACTATAAAATTTGTTGAATTTATTTATCGACTTGTTTTTTTATAATGATTTTTATATAATTTTTAATCCGGCTAGAGGTCACTTTTTGTTAAATAATTCAACCTTTAAAATTTTTTATTATAATTTTAGTCAATTTTTTTTTCCTAAAAATTATTTCTTTCCAGTGAAGTTTAGGGAGAGACTTGTAGTTCCACAAGTTTTAGGTAAACGAATCATTTTGATATTAAAGTTATTGCTTATATATTTGTAACTGGATATTTTTTTATTGTAACCTATTTTAAAATTAACATCTTCACAAATTTTCATTTTATTACAAGTAGTGTAGTAACACTAGATTTAGATAAACAACCATTTTCCTCGAGATTTAAGCAAACGATCTATTTTCCATCAGGTTTAGGTGAACGAACCAATTTGATATTAAAAGTTTTGGTCATCTATGTTTTTCCAAATATTCTTGAAAGCCTTATTAAAGTCTTTGAAATGAGCAACAATTAAATGGAATGATTCTCGTAATGTGAAGTAGTATATTTTAATTATTGTGCCATATAGCATGTGGTCAAAAGAAATGCCTGTATAGAATATCAGATAAGAAAAATGTATCTGCATGACCACTGAACATTTAAAATGTTTAAATAATTTTCTACAGACTTTCTTCTCACATGGGCATGTAAAGTAAGTACTAATGTACTAAAATGGCTATAATTTCATTTTATATTGTTAAGAAGAATGGAAAAGTGCTGAACTGCAACGAAAATGTTTTAAACTTATATCAGTTGATTTATAGAAATTTATATTTATTTATCCGTATATATTTCTCAGTTGTAATGCAAACAATTATAAAAGTTTACAACTTAATTGCAACACAAATGCAACACTTAACATGACAATGAACCACATTTTAGCGTTGACGAATGTCAGCAGCGGCTTTAACGATGCCACTGGCAGCAGAAAAGGGGGCCAGCATAAAATCCAAACCGTCTACGAGCACCGAACGCCTGCTAACTATAACCCACCACAGCAGGAAGTGCAACAGAATTTATAAAAATGGTGTGCAACATCTATAAATATCCTAGCACATTTCACTCCGCTTTCATATTTTTATGAGATATAACAGACACTTGACCAGCTGCCAACGCTAGTGCATTGCTGGTACTTGCTCCAGCCCTTGGCTCAATTTCTCATTGTAGCTCTTTCGTTCTGGACTTTGTTGCAAGTGGAGTTCTGCAGTTTATTAGCTTTTGTTTTCAATGTTCCTTATTTCATTTTTATTTTTATTTTTCATTTTTTATTTTTATATATTTATATTTTATTATTTTTATTTTTAATTTTTATTTTTTTTTGCTATTATTGTTAAGCTGCATTATAACTTCGGTGAGTTGCATTTTAAAGTTAGGAGTGGAAAGTCCATGCACTTGCGAGGGTGTTTCATTTATGAATGCACACCATCTATGCTACAATTGCATTCGTACCTTTATGGGGGTACCCGTATCAAAAACTAAGGAATTGTTTTTAAGTAGCTTTTAATTGGTTGGGTAGACACAAATTAAATTATTATAAGTTACTAAATAAACTGTATATATTTATTAATATATCAGAAGTGAGTTAGACAAAACTGAATTTAACATACTTCATTAACACTAAGACATCAATTAATTAAAACTATATTGCATGAACAACTTTACTTGTTAAAAACTTTAATTTAATATTAGTAATAATAATAGTTTAAGTAATTAATAATAATAATTTAAATCTTCATAAACTAATAATATTAAATATCAGTAAAATCAAACATATTTATATAAGATCGGTAATGAAAGTCTTAGTGAAGTGAGTCAGTTATGTATGGTAATATACCATGTTTATATATAGACAAGTATTCTTATTAAATCTATTATTTGCAACTGATTTTTTTAATGTGCTAATACTGAAAAATTTTATTGTTTACCGAAAAATTTATAGCATATTAACATAAATATTAATTTCAATTTTTTATTATTTTTATTTATTTTTTGTTGTTATAGTTCACGACTGTTCAAAAAACCTCTTTATGAAATGTACTAGTTGTTTCCATTAAATGTATAATAGTCACTTCCGTCTGAAAAATTTGACGTTAAATTATAACTTATATTCACGAAATACTGCTCTCGCCCGTGCTACTCGAGATTAGGTTCTAAACATAAGAAAGAACAACGCATGCAAGAAGTACAAACAGAATAGTATTAAAATCTAACAATTAAAAATAAAATATAATTAATTAATTTAATTATTCTACAGCTGGTTTATTATTTCGTTCTAATATAAGCACAGCAAGTGAATTTGTTCGCAGGAAATTAACAAAACTCCAGAAAAATATGCGAACATTAAAACAAGTACTTTAGGTCAGTTGGTTAAGGAGCGCTGACTCTGAGCTTCAAATTTGGCAGAACATGTGTTCGATTCGTGGTTCACTACTATTCGAAAAATCTCTTTATTATTTTTAAGTAATTTAATTTCTGGCTGTCCACACAGCTATTTCGAGTATTGCTAAATATCCATCATAAGTGGTCTTACATTCGATATTACCATATTTACATTTGATTATTCGTAAATAGATTTTTGAGACTGCAAGTACCAAAAGTTGAGCTCATACCCTGCTCTGAGAAGCTCTAAAGTCTGAGTCAGTGTTCATTAGTTAAATGACCCAAAGCCGTACTTGACTTGTAGCCGCGAACTTTTGTATATTTTTTTAGCGTCTTCGCTGGCTTGGGCATGTCGTGCAAATGGAAGAAGGTGCTTCGGCTAAAAAGGTATTTAATTGCGGGTACGGAAAACGCGCTAGAGGAAGTCCGCATCTTTGGTGGTATTACTGGCGACAGCAAGCAACTAATCGGGCTCGCTGGCGAAGACTTCTCGACGCATGTCTGTGATGACCAACCAAGTAAGTATGGTAAGTATATTTTTTTTTAAATTTTTTTTGCTCTTATATTTTAGTTTTTTTTTAATTTTTTAATTTTTAATTGTATCTTTTATCTTAAGCCTTTTTTTAATATTTTTTTTATTTTATGCTATTTTCTTTCAATTTTTTTATTAATAATTTTTTATGGTATTTAGGGAAAAAACATGTAGGCAATATAATTTCAATGTTCACTATTATACAGAGCTTCATACATATATAAAATACATTGCTTATTTTATCCTTGCAGTCATTTCATGTAAAAAAAGTTGTTAATTTTTATTTAATATTATATTTCTTAATTAATCAATTTTATTTATTATTATCGTATCTATACTGGGATCTATTTTCGTTACGATATTAAATCAGAAAATGAAATGAAATAATTTTAAAAATCTTTATTAGTAATTCCAAGTACATTTAATCGCTTTTAAATTTAGTTTTCTTAATCGTAGAAATAATTTACGTTGCACCTTCATCGATTTCCTAAAATAAAAATTTATCACATTTTACTAGTACATCAAATATTGTGGATATTCAAAATATTAGAAAATATTAATTATGAAAATAAGAAGTTATTAATACCAATATGTAGTCCAGATTATTGGTCCTTTATCTGCCTTCATAGTCTATACGAATAATAAATTATATATGTTAATATATATTATTTATGCATTTATACAACTAAAAAAAAAACTAGAGTAAGTTTTTAAATTAGTAACTACCTTAATATCAAATTAGTCGTATCAAAGCAAATTTAAACCAGCGTAAATAAGAAATTTACTTATACACTTCAGATTGTGGATATATTAGTATCGATACCGCAAGTATTTTATAGATGATTTACAAAATGTTCTATATAAAAATATTGTTTTATTATTTAAAAAATGTTCGGTATATTGGAACACATATCTTACCATTAACAGGTATCGAAAAATGTTTTCTTATTATTTTTGAACGTTCCTCCACGTCGGCCCAGTTGACTTTTTTTTGGCCACCATTTCTTTGCGCCACATCTCCTTTTAGTAGGTTTGCGTTTGCTTTTACCTCTAAAGGGTTTGGGCTTTGCAATAGGAAGAAGTATTTCAGTAGAGTCGCCCATAAATATTGGGTAACTATGCGGTGAAAACTCTTCCTTTTCGCTTTCTTGAAAACAATTCCATAAAATTCCACCGCAGGTAATTGCTTCCTTCGTTGTTAAATCGGGACTCTTTTGCTCAAAATGGTTGAGAAAATTTTGAAAACGATTATCATCCATATTACAGAAATTTTTAAATGAAATCAGAAAACCGAAAATTGGATGTTACCAATAGAAAATATATATTTTTAATAACAATTTTTTATTTCAGTTTATGAACGTAATTATCTAAAAAGCAAATGCAACTGTGATTAAAATAAAATAAATATTTAATAAAAAAACAAAGTACAGTTAAAACAAATTTTTATAAATCAGTTTTATAATAAAATCAAAATCAAAATTGGACTAAAATCCTGTATTCCGGGGATCTAGTAGCGCTTAATTTCATGATGTTTTCAAAAAAAATAAATTGAGAAAACGGGTTTTTGGCACTAATGATGAAACAATTAATGCATTCAATGCCGAAATTACAGATCAGTCGAATCTGATTTAAACTCAGTTTTCAAGTATAGATCTATAGACTAATAGAAATTATGTTGAAAAAATTAAAAATAATAGTTCAAAATATTGTTTTAATTTTGTTTTTTTGTTACTAATTAAGCCAGCTTTGATAAATCCCTCTCGTATATCCTTACAAGATTTAATGAGTTTAAGAATTGGAGACATATGTTTGTGTTGTGATTTCAGTAAATAGTTGATACTTTCACTGTTCGATCTATTTATTTACATTTTTGTTTACAAAGCATATTTCTATCTTAAAGGTCTTGTAGACAAGCAAACTGTATGTATATAATGCGAGGAAAATCCTAAAGTGATCAACTAGCTATCATCACATATCAACAAATGCTCCCTTTAGAGTTAGTTATGGGCTAGTGGAAGTCATCAGTCTATACCTCTGTAGTAAGTGAACAATAGAGTTGTCATATTAAATAATTCTTTGTTCTTTGAAGTGATTGTACATGGTTTGGAAAACTTTCAGTTTTAAGGATGTACTATATACTCAAATTATAAAGAAATTATAGACTTGAAAGTGTGAAAGTTTGAGAATAACAATTTCCAAATATGAGCCTTTTATCAGGACATCAAAATCTGTTTGTACTAGGACTTTCTTAGTGGCTATTTGTTGGTTTATGAGCCTGTAATCGGAACACCAAAACCTTACTGTACTGAACTACTTTCTAAGAGGCTATATGTTGGTTCTTGAGACTGTAATCGGAACACAAAGACCTGACTGTACTGCACTACTGTCTAAGGGGTTATGTATTGGTTCATGAGTCTGTAATCGGAACACAAAAACCTGACTGTACTGAACTACCTTTTATGAGGCTATTTGTTGATTTATGCAGATAAGATTTGGAAGATAACATCCAGTATGCTTTCCCTAAGATACCCAAACGAATGATTGAAAAAATGATTGAAAATTGGTAACTAAATGTTAAAATAAATTTTAAATCAAATGTGTTATAAAATAATATATGGAATATAAAAGAAACTGATTCTATAAAACAAATGATTCTGTGTTTTAATGTAATTTTTATATTTCGCTTCTTTTAAACAGAAATATTATAAAAAATTTTATATATTATTTTATATTATTTCTATATATTTTTGCACAAAATTTCTCTTGTAAATTTTTGAATTTATCATAATAAATATAAAAATCTTTTAAAATTTTTCATTTCAATTCGATTTCTTTTTCCAATTCGTGTCTGTCAAGTTAGGTTTGTGGCTGCCTTTGACCAAATAAAAATTAAGTTTATTACGAGAGACTGTAAGATAATGACATAGGGCACCACAACATCTGAAAGATGAAAGAGAACTTCGCAAAAACTCTGCCAACATTAATGTATAAAAAAATATAATAAACAAACAAATTAAAAACGAAAGCTCAAAAAGCAAACCCTACCACCATTTTCTCTTTAATACTATTTTAAAGATTTTCACTACTAAAAAAGGACATATACTTATATTTTATTTGTAATTTTTAAACTTAAAATAAGGATAAGCCAGGCACAAAACAATTCTTTTCAGCTACTACAGACAAAAAAGCAGGCATGGTACAAAAACGAGCGAAGGCATTGGTCCGAGTACAAAAAGGCCGGGCGATGTAACCAACAGGAAAAAAGTGGCATTATAGTTTCTTGCATCAAGATAACAACCAAGAAAAATTAGTAATTTTTTCTTCTATTAAATTTTTACTCCCTTTACAGGCAGTTAAAAGAAATTTAAGCCGGAATCCTTAACTCCATGACAGAAGACATAAGCATATAGACTTCTATCCCGAATGTAGATGTGACGGTATGCAAGTAACCCAATACATATGGCAAGGAGAGAAGAAGAAGTTATAATGGCGCTACTTCTTCTTCATTGCAATTCAGTTTTTCTTCTCTTTTGAAATTTTTACTAACTTCGCGTTACTTTAACTGGAAAAAACTTTATCTTGTGTGCAACACTGGCATAAGCAATTTTTTTTTTTAGTTTTTCACTTTAAAATTTAGGTTTCCTTAATGTTGTGTGCTTTTTTCAGATTTTAGCTCACACGAAAAAGAAATTAAATAAAATGCGGTGAAATGCAATGCTGATAATATTCAGTTCTTTATACTCAAATATTGTTGTGTACTTGTTTGTATGCATTTTTTAGTGGATTTTATATATTATGAGAAACAATCTTACTTCCACAAAAAACGTTAGTTAAAGTACTTAAACAATCTATGGACAACATAAGAACAACTCACTAACAGATTGAGTTGGCCTTTACAATCTTACTTAAGTTAAATTATGGGACCAAGTACTACAAATATTGATATAAAAAAGGCATTCAAAATTTTCGGATTATGGAAATTTATTAAAATAATTTACACGTTTAACGAATCTTAACAGTTTTCTATACTACTTCATAATATGTTAAGTACATGAGAATTATAATTGTGATTTATATTTTATTCTATCACGTATACTTTTTGTTTGTGTTTTTCTTTATATTTAGGTTTAAGGTGTTACTTTAATTTAAAATTTAAATTTAATTTATTTAAAATATTAAAAATTGAATTGATTCACGAATATTTCATTAAAATTGAATCAAAGTTAATATATTTTTTTTAGTTTTAAGTCATTTATTTATTATCGATACTTTTTTAACAGTTTCCAGGTTTTACTTGAATACATTTTTATTAAGAGGCGTTAAAATTTAGATTAAAGAACTATTTTGATTGATTATAAATATTTTATGAAAACATACAATATATATTTGATTTTATAACTCAAGAAATTTTTATTTTAGTTCCAATTACTTTTATAGATTTTATATCAAGTTTTATTAAGTTTTGTCTTACCTTAAAAAACTATTTCAAGAAATTTTATCTGCAGCTTTGTTTTTAAAATATTTTAAAAGGAAGATATGCTGATTTAAGGTCCGTCATCAACTAAAAGACAAATAAATGATATGATTTTTTTTTTAACCTAGTTAAAGCCTAGTATGGGGTAGAGATAAGCCCCCCAGCCATTATAGAGTAAAAGTGCGTAATAGCACTAACTCAAGAAGAAGAAGAATCAAGAATCAAGAAAAGGATTATTTAAAAACTTTTATACATAATGGATTCAAAATTTAAAAAATTAAAAATTATAATACTAACTAAATTTGTACTAGCAGTTACTGCCAAGCAGACGATATAGATTTCTAATTTTAAAGTTATATAAATAAATTTAGAGTAAATTTAAACGAGTTACAATTTTATATTAAAATATTTTAAAAAATTAATAATAATTGTAAGTTTTAAGGTTGAGATACATTAAAATTATTTAAATGAAAATTAATTGAAAGTAAATTTTACATAGATCAACTATTGAATTTACGGTGTTTTGAATAGTAGTGAATCACAATAACAACATTTTTTGTTAATTAAGTACATTTTTTAACTGAAATTTACTAAACACTCCATAAACTGATTTAAAAAATTAAATTTAATAAAAATTAATTCAAGCTCTAAAATATGTACATACGTTACGCCTACCGGTATTATTTTAAAATAAGATAAGTGAAGTCGTAATGTAGTAGATGAACCCGAAAATATATTAAGATTCCATAACGATAATTTAAAGCTTAATTCGTAAAGTATTTTATTTACGTTGAAAGGATTTTAGTGCAGATAATTATTATATATGAATTGCATATTACATATTAAATATTAAATATGAGTAAAAATTAATCTTTGTTTTTGAATCCACTCCATTACAATCTGTCTAGTTTAATTTGACTGTATATAATTATTTTCGATTAACTACAAAGAAACGCTTATTTGAAATAGTCTCTGGATTTGATGTTGAATAGGAAAAGAAGACGACTTATCTCAGTTTGTTGAGTTGTGTATTTATGCGTATATCACAAAATATACAATTTTTGTTTAAAATACTATGTCCCTTCAAAAGGGACATCGGGAACAATTGGACTGAATATTATTTTCAAAATAATTTGTACATCATTAAGAAGCCATTGTCGGAATCAAGATGTGATGTTATTCTAGTATAAAAATATTTATCAAAAACTTAAATAAATAAATTTTTTATATAATTACAATTACTAATATTTTTTCATGTCTGTATTGTTTTTTGTTTCTTCTCAGTACGTATGAAGACTATCAAAATTTAACATTATTTTGCAACTTATTTGCGCTTTGATTTCTTCCAGAGCTTCCCTCTTTTGTACTTTTGTCGGGAGTTTTTGTTACACTTTTATATTATTCTTCATAGTAAGCTTATAACAGCAAAGGAAACGGAAACGGACTCGGATACAAAAGCGCTACAATGTATCCTCTCCTACATTTAATAAGGTGAAATTTTTCTGCTTTTATATGTGAGATATATCTTTATCGACTTTTTGCGTTTTATTGTTATATTAAGAAAAAATTAAAACATTGAGAGCAAAATTAATTATTTTTAAAATGAGAGGAAGTGCAAAACTTTAATATTCTGCTAAGAAACGTATTTCAGTTTATATACTCTTATAAAATTCATTATGTTCCATTTGATTTTATAATAGCAAATCCTAACCGATTCATTTGACTTTTAGTAAGTGGAAGTTGGATAAAAGCAAACAATGTAGCCTAAAACGTAAAGAGAAAGTGCATTATCTGTTATCTGATCCACCATTTAAATTTAAGGCTGTTGTCATTAATTTTGGTTTATATATAAAATAATTTGTAATTATTTAGTCAGTGTATATATTAGAATCCCCTTACCAATAATTTCAATACATATCATATAGAATCTAATATACTTACATCACACATTTTAATAAACTCTATATAACATATATAAATATATAAAAAAAAAATGATTCTTATATTCTCTTTTCCTTAAAGTTATATGTTATATGCTAAAGACATCTAAGACTTAGCATTGCGAAGAGATGTGTGGATTAATTGAGCACGTAAAACTTATATTACTCATACATACTTTATTAGGAATGAATGAATTTTATTACATTTAAAAACTAAAAAGATGTTTAAGAATTTTGAAAATGTATTTCAAATAATACCAGTAATAATTTTTTTTATGTATGATCACTTCGAGTCCAATTATACCTAGGCATGCACTGTTTAATTTCTCTTACCCGAGTCCCAATAAATATATCTTTAATTATAATTTCATCTTGAATCGCTCTAAGCATACATTTTGACTTTTCGGTTTATAACTTTAATGCTTTTCATAAGTTGTCTACCAGATGAGCTCTACATAACTCCAGTTTGGTAATAATGGTAATGTAATAATGGAATAATGGAAAGTAATGTCTTCTTGTTCTTTATCGGATTTAGAATAGTAATCGCATTAAGAGTTTTAGCATAAACTACTGCTATATATACCTTCCCTGAAGCATCCGCAAACCTTATGAAGTTTTAAAATTAATTCACCTAAAGTAGCAATCCATCTAGAAATTTTTATATTTTCAACAGTAGAAATCATTGAAACAATCGTATTCCATTCTTTTGATAATTTGATGTCTAGCTTCGTATTCCACGTCAAGTCTATAAGCCATAGTTTTTGTTTAAATAATTTCGCCATTGTTGTCGTTAGTGCCAACTATCCAAGTGGATCATAGAATTGAACCAATATAGATGGTACTTGCGTACAGCTTCTCCGTTTTCTATTTTAGTAATATAATTGTCTGCAAAGTCCGAAATTTCGCCAAAAATTTGCTTTTCGTTTGTTATTCATTTTCGTAAGTGAAATCCAAACTTTTTTAGATGCCGAATAATTTCGGTTTATATATTTATACATTCATTTATGGAGTCAGGACATGTCATCAAATCTTCCATATAGAAATCATTTTTCATTATATAATATAATTTTAAGTTATGATCTATATAATCTAGTAGAGCTCTTTTTGTTAAGAACGGTGCACAAGAAGTCCCGTAGTTTTCAGTACAAATTCTTCAATGGATTTTTCTGGATTTTCACGCCATAAGATAGTTAATATGGCTGATCTTCTTCTGTTACCAGCACCTGCCGATACATTTTTTCTATAGCAGCTGTCATAATGTATTTCCACAATCATCACTAGATTACTACCTGAAATATATCCAGCTGTAGCTTAGATCCAGTGTGCAGTCTTTCATTTAAGCTGTTTCCGTTAGCAGTTTTTGCTAAAGCATCAAATACTACCAGAAATTTTGTTGCTGAATGGCCATCTTTTATGACAGCTTGATGAGGCATACAAAATTTATTAAACATCTTTTTGGAAACTTTCTGCATGTGAAGAAAATATCTTTTAAGTCAGTTAAGTTAGTCCGAATATTAACATATTAAATGTTACATAAATTTTATTAAACATATTTAGTTATATGAAACTATTGTAAGTAATATATTAATAAAGTATATTTTTCATAACTTCAACTTGAAATATTTGAAACTAATTTACACATTAGTTTTTTAAAAATTTATTTCATTAAAAGATTTTCGAAAAGTAGTAAACAACAACAAAAATTCTTCTTTTTTTTTATTATTTTAATTATTGAATTTTTGGGTAATCATACAGCTTTTCGAGTATTGTCAAATACCCATTATCAGTGGTCCTGGAAATAGTTCTTGTATTATGAAATAGTTCTTCTATTTAGTAAATAATTTTTTGAGACTGTAAATATCACGAATCGAACTCGTTCCCTGCCAAATATAAAGCTTAGAGTCAGCGCTCCTTAACCAACTGACCTAAAGCCGTATTTGTTTTAATGTTCGCACATTTTTCTGGAGTTTTGTTAATTTCCTGCGAACAAATTCACTTGCTGTGCTTATATTAGAACGAAATTATAAACCAACTGTAGAATAATTAAATTAATTAATTATATTTTATTTTTAATTATTAGATTTTAATACTATTCCGTTTGTAGAGGCATGATTTGTTCATTCTTATGTATGGAACCTAATCTGGAAACGTAATACTGAGGAAGTCATGCTAATGTTACTCCACGAGTCGCACGGGCGAGATCAATATTTTGTGAATAATATATATGTTATAATTTTTAACTTCGTTTTTTTTTATACAATAATTTTTTATTTTGTGCTTCTATTTATATTTTATTTTTTTTGTCCAAAAGTTTTTTTTTGTTAGTTTTTGTATATCTTAATTTGAAAATATGTAATCATAATTTTTACAGACTATAGAAAATGCATATGCATATAGCAATTATTATTATTATTATTATTTATTGATATAGCAATTATAGTAAGACAATTAGAATTTAATTTATGAGCCCCTAGATGAAAATTTATCTCTCTATAATATATAACATGTATATAATATATTCTTTTGAAACAATGATAACACTCGCTTCATTTACGATTCTGATAGATATCACGCCTACCGAAATAATGCTGGAATAATTTTTAGAATTGTTTTTTTCTAGTCATTTGTTGAATCATTCACATTATCACAGATATTGTCTCTCGTACTATCTCCATCTTTAAAACCACATGACCTACTAAAATAATAAGTTTCGTCATAGCTGGAATCAATAAAATTTTCTACATTCTCAGTGCCACGAGCTGTAAAATATTAGTAAACATCGTTTTTGTACTTATAAAAAATTAATCAAATTACCTGAATGCAACCAAAGTGGCAAACACCCCGCGGGAGATATAATATTTATTCCGTTCATACACAAGATTTTAAAAAACGGGATGAGTTTTTCTTCAATTTTCCGGATTCTTCTAATATAAATAAAGAAGCAAACTTGTGTTTCAACTATTGGTCTCAAATAATATTGTTCAGAATTGTGCGTTCGATCAGGAAGGATATTACGTTTTTCATTTAATAGGATTTCATTATATATTTTCATTACTTTATTTTTTTCCATTATTAAATATAACACTAATTCCTTGGCATCATCTATAACCTTCTCTTTGTGTGAGGAAAAAAACAAATTAATTTCAGCGTGATGACGTTTAATATCTTCAATCTCGTCCGAAAGAATATCAATCTCTATATTATCAGTCGAATTATCTTGGATTGTAGAGAACTTGGACATTAAAATACCAGTTTTATTTTTCAGATCACACAGTTTTATTGCGTATTCCATGCGTAGTTTATTAAATTGATTCCATTTATCAATTAGTTTTGATAGCAACTTAAACACTATTATTTTGTGAGTATTGAATGAGTTGCCGTCGTATTCCATCTTTTTTGTTCCCAATAAGTAATATATTTCAAAAATCGTAAAGGTAAGTATATAAGTTCAGCAATGATTATGGGAATTATAATTTTTCTTGATGATTTTGAAATGACAAAACTGTATTTTTAGTTTACGAATATAAAAAAAGGATTGCTGTGTTTTGTTTATTTTTGTAATAATAACAAAAATAATATATATTCTTACTGGAGAAGTATCGAACAGCATTGAGCTACAACAACAAAAATTATTTTTATATTAAGGAGCAGTTGGTTAAAGAGCGCTGTCTCCGAGCTTCAAATTTGGCAGGGCACGAGTTCGATTCTTGATACTTGCAGTCTCTAAAAAATTACCACTGTATGGTCAGCCAAAATTTCAATTAATTAGACACTTCTATTACATTGACGTTAAAATTAAATTTAATATATTATTGTTATTATTATTAATTTATGATATGAATTATATTTCAAATCATAAGCGAAAAAATGTAGCATTTTATAAATGGAATGTCATGACCAAAACTCAAAAGTTTTGTGAATATAAAACTCTTATTCTATAACTTCATAATTTTAATTCTTAATTATATTAAAAATATTATTAAGATCTGGCATTAGCTTTCTAAAAGCCTAAGGAATTAAAATATATAAAAAAGTAAATGAAAAAAGTAAACGAAACTGATTCGGTGTAAAAATAAAGAATTTGTGAACCCAAATTAAGAATTTGTGAACGCAATATTTTAATTCCCAATAAATATCATAGCCAAAATTATCAAAAACTACTTATGAAGCTTTTCTCCGGTGATGTGTTGAGTCATTCTGACCATCATCGAGTTACTTGTACTGCTATGAATATTATTTAGATGAAATATCTGAACTAAAGTTGAACGTTGTTTTAGAATATGAGATTATAAAACTTAAATTATATAAAAAATAATAATTAATCTCTCATGTTCAAAAATATGCCATCAAATCACTGCTTCAGACTGTAAACAGCAGTCTGCTCCAGAACAATTTCTGAGCTTTCTACCATTAAATTTAAAAAGAGTTTTATCTTCAAAGTTGATTATTCCATAAAATAATAGACCTTTTCAAGTTGTTCTAAAGCACAATCTATAAAATTTTTTGACAATATATTGTAATTTAATTCAAATTTTTCAGTCAACTAATTTATACGCCTTGATATATAAATTTTAATGAAGAGCATCGATATGGAATATGGAATCATTTTTAATATGAAACAAGAAAATTCATTCAGTATTGCAACATTACGAAGATACTTTGATTCAGCTTATGTGCAATATAGCATATATAGCATATTTCATACAAATGTATCTTAAAGACTTAACTCCCGGAAGATGAGGCATACTTCTTTCTTGTGTGAGAGTAATAAAATCATCATTATTTATCCAGAAAAACTGCATTACGTGGTCAATGTAAACTTTGTTAAGGAAGTAATATATAAAGCAAAGTAATCAATTTCATTGGAGTAAGCAATAAAAAGAGGAATAATATTATATATGTATTTATATGTGAATATCAAAATAAATACCAAAATACGATAGAAAAATAAAAATATTTGATGTCAATAAAACGCCATAAATGGGCGTCTTTGTGAGTTTATGGCACAATTTGACATTGAAAATCTATGTGACATAGATTTACAAACCTAATATGATGAAATCTAGTTTGAGTAAAAATGTCGGAATTTGCTTTTATATACGTATAGATACATTTATCATTCAGTCCATAAAAATAAATGTGAAATCAACATTTTTTCTAGCCAACAGAAAAATATTTTGTAGATTAAAACATGTGTTGCTTGTCCTTAAGGTATGTTTGACGACTAAAAAATCTATATAATTCTGAAATGGTCATCAAAAATGCGAAGAAAAAAGGATTGTCCCAAATGCGAAATTGACATTTCGTGCAAATAAAAGCAGTCATTTCTCGTAGTTAATAATGTTCGCATTCCAGCAGTAGAAACCAAAGTTTCGTTATTCGATATTCGGTAAATATTAGAGCGCCGCGTCCAAAAGTCTAAAAGTATGGCAAGGCTGTTTGTTCGTGTGTCAAATCGGCCACTGTTTGCTTTGGGAGTGGAAGTGGAAGTGGAAGTGGACGCCATACGTTATGGTGAGTTGCACCCTTGTTCTTTTCTCCTTTTAGTTTGTAATCATCTTTCTTAAATATTTTTATTGGTTTATTGTTATGAACCCTTTTTATTTCCGTGCTATTTACAAATCTGCGCCGTTTACTCAGTTGTTATTTGCTTTCTGATAGGAAAAAATGTCATTAATGACATGACAAATGTCCAAAATTGATTTATTTTTGATGAAAATATATTTAATGGCTGAATGAATTAAATTTCGTGGTTTCATTATTTTTCTTGAACTTGTCAAAATTTCTTAATAGTTTCTTAATTTGACATCCATCCTATATATATTTTGAATTTTGTATATATATTGAAATGTTTTCAAAATTTACTTCATTAATAGAGAATATGAAAGAATCTCAAAAGGAAATTAAATAAAATTAAGTAAATTCTTTCTTTCATTAATTTTAATAATTTAATACTACCAGCATACTCAATTATTTTATATCAAAGGTTATAATACTTTAATAATCTGGACTTATAGAAAGCCAAGTGAAAAGCCTTAAGTATCACCAAGCTAAACCCAAGCGATAAAACTGTTAAATTATGAATATGTTATACAGACGTTTCAAAGGGACCTATTGGCCCTTAAGGGTCGTGGTGTACCATTGTAACTTCCATGTCACACAAGTTTCTTTTTGTTTTAAATATTCTTTTGCAATACTATTTAAACCCTTATATCACTTAAAATTTATTATGCTCAAATCGCTTAATTTTTTCCCATTATATAAACTTTCAAAACTCAGGTTGCTTAGGACCGCTTTGAAGGTCGTCTCTTCAACGATGAACTCTTACTTATACTTATCCTTTGCTTTTTAAAGTAAACGCTATATTTGCTTCTAATAAATTCGATTTCAAAGTTTTAGTCTTTCAACATTTACTTGTGCTATAGAGGACTTCCACTTCAAGCCACCACTATAGAGTGTTTAGTCAATTCGCTTATTTACAGAGATAGGCCCTATGCTTCACTAGGCGAGATGAACAGCATTACTTACTGCTGTATATAAGTAAGTATATTTACAAAAAGAGTTTTCTTATATGAAATGCAATAAATATTTATGTTAATACTTTTTGTATTTAAAAAAAAACCCAACTAATTTTTTTGGAATTAACCACAATTTTGGGGGCTACAATTTTCACATTTGTTAAATTAAACGCTTCAATTTTCGTTATCAAATTTCGTTTTGATGGCATTTAGCCAGCAATTTTATTCATATTCATAATTCTTGCTTGTCTGTGTATCTGTGTATCTGTGTTTTACACGAAAATCAAATAAATCAAAGAAAAGAACTGAATTGAACTGAACTGAACTGAGCTGTACTGAACTAAATGGCAAGCAACAAATATTGTACTTCTCATATACCAACAGAGTATACAGAGGGGTGAGAACAATAATTTTATACTGTACATGCGAGTATACTTATGTAGACACAACAGTGTATAGTAGATAGCTAAATAGATAGATAGAGAGATAGATTTGTTGCACCAAAAATAAACGCGCCAAAAACAATCCATCAATCCTTGGTAATCCGATAAAACCGCTTATGGATACGCAAACAAGCACACGCACGCCCGGACAGACGGTGGAAAGCTGCAGATAGTAGCTCAGACAAATAAATGCTAGCATGAGCGAACATTCATTCGGATTGGTGAATGTTTGGCATGAGTGACAATAAACCTTTAAACTGGAGTTATGTAAACGTCGTCTGCTCCATTGATGTTACTAAAAAGCTAGTACACCCGCATCGTAATTATTCTGCAAAGTTCTTACTTGGCCAGAACATTGCCAGACATTTTACACTTGCATTGCTGCAGATTGCCGATTGTGAATTTAATATCGTTGATAACTAAAAAGGACAAAAAGTTGGGTGTTTTATCCTGATGAAAAACATAAAAATTTGCCAAAGTGCAATATAAAAGCAATGTGGAAACACTGAAAAATCCTTTGTTGCCGTGTACATTAAATCTCTTAAACCAAAAGTAAAAATATTAAAAATATTAAAAATATTAGTAAATTTTAAAAAAAATTTCGCTAACTAACCACTGTACATTTAAGCTGAAATACTGAATGCAGAGATTGAAATTTTTATTAAAAATAATTGCAAAAGGTTAATGGCGGCTAAAATATTGTTTAAAAGTGCAAATTTTTTCGTTTTCTGAATTCATATAAACGTTGGCACAGTATAACAAATATTATTTTTTGTATTTATATATACACTTCTATATTAATTTATATATATTTAAGTTAAATTTTTTCAAAAAGTTTTTACAATCCGTCATCCTCTGGTTTCAATTCACTTTTTAATTTCCAACATAAATTGTATTTTTACTCAATACTTAATTAATTTTTTTTCAAATGATGTGAAATGATTTTCACATTTTCTCATATGAAAAATTAGTTTTTGTTTCTGTTTTACTTTTTATTTTTATGCATTTTATTTAATGAAATATTTTGAGTGTTTACATATAGAATTACATTTCGATTCAATTTTAACACGCAATACAACGATTTCATATATATTTTTTTTTTTAGCATTAATATACAAAAAATAAATACACATAGCAGACATTCAATATAAGAAATATAAGAATATTGCAAATTAATTTGATTAAAATTTTAACTAATGGTTTTTCCATTTGTAACGATTTTTGCATAAAAGCCAAAAAAAAAGCAATCAAAACTTATTTAGAAATTCTATTTTTATTTTTATTAAAACAAAGGAAGGCTATTTTGCTTTCATTTATTATTTGATTTTCTAAACAATCTATTGAACTTTATATACCCGCCACAATGAATTTTTAATAATTTTATAGGTACACAAACTACTCTACTACCACTTACAAACTACTACTACTAGTTTGTACTCTGCTCTAGTACCACAAACTGCTTAAAGAGATCCATAGCTTCGAAGAGTTTTAAAGAGATATCCAAATTTCATTAAATGGTATTTTAAAGTTCTATACCAACTATAAAATAGGTTCCTCAAACTACTTAAAGAAATCCATAGCTTCGAGAACTTTCAAACAGATATATCCAAATATTATTAAAGCTTGTTCGAAGCAAACCACATTTTTAAGTTTATGAATAAAACTAACGGACATATAGACATACATACACAAATCTGATTAATACGATGAATGCACTAGCATTTCTTGATCTGTTTCCACCAATTTTACGGTTTCCATTATTGATAAATACCCTAGTGCTTTCTCATTTCTTCTTCTTTTGCCTCTTCTTTATACCACTATATTATTCTATATTGCATATTTATTTAACGATAAAGAAAGACAACAGTAATTTGTTTAGACTGCCAGTTAGGGATTGCAAATATTCTTTAACTGGAAATGTCAAAGCTTTTAATGTGGTTCAAGCTTGAGAAATCCATTGTTTATATATAGTACAGTTTCAATATTTTTGTCATCAAAGATCACCAGAAGTTGTTGCTTGATGTTCACAGTTTCAGGACATTAGGCGCAAGTTCTTGAATAACATTCTGTATATAATAGTAAGTATGCAAATCATGTGGTGTAGGTAATATTTATAATCATATATCGAATCTATAGTACATGCAATTAGTGATTTTATATATACTCCATTTATCATTATTTTTAGGTTTTTGTGTATGTGTGCCACTTGCTCCTGCAAAAATGCAATACTGTGGTCGTAGAGATGGAAATTTAGAAAAACCACATTTGAGGTCTGGGTGGTTTAGTTGGAAAAGATTATGCAGCTCTTTCAATTTACTTAGAATAAGTCGGCTTTGCTCCCAGGCATTATTTGACTGTTTTTATTATATTCTACGTTTTATCTTTGTAAAGGTAGAAAACTATCTCAGTCTCATGTTTTTCTAGCGATCATTGGCTTTTTAAATTTGAATCTTCAAATATACCTTTTTCTGAAGCAATTGTTTTAGCAATAGTGATCATATGCTTTATGGCGTTTGGGAAGTAAGTCGTAACTCTTCGGAAAGACATATTAAACATCACACCCAATATTTTTATTTTCATAATGTTATCTGCTGTGCCATTAAATTTTTGCTGTAGGTACTTTAAAATTGATGAGGGTCATCTTTTTTATGATTTCATAATTTAAAAATTGAGAAACCGTGAAAATTATTTGTTCAATAAAACCACTTCCGATACCGATAACGTCCTAAAGAATTGCACTTTTTTTTGTTTAGTTTTTCATGGAAAATTGATTTAATGGTTTTGCAGTGCGTATGAGTGACATGCAGGACACCAGTTAAATTAATTTTTTGTAATTACTTCAAAAAGCAATACCACACTGGAAATATTTATTTTTTAAGTAGAATTTATTGGTCAATCAGAATTGAAACTAAAAAAGAAAAATTTGTGTGACTTATTCCTCTTTTTTTTTGTACTGAAAAATGATGTGTATGTGTTTAGTATGATGTGAAGAATAAATTAATTTTTTAAAAGTACTTCCAATGACAATATCGTCCTGAAATTTTTGAGATTTATGTAGAATTTTAATACAAATCAATATCAAAAAGATTGTATAAGAATATTTGTAGTATTTCCTTTGAAAATTCATTCAATGAAAATATACTACACATATGCATAATGTGTTTTGCGGGAGAAAAAAAATTTTAAAAAATTTCATAAAATAAAGCCATCCTAAAATTATTTATTTTGAAATAAAATTTAGAACTGAATATAAATAAAATATTAAAAATAAAAATTCTAGGGACATGATTTGCAAAATTTTTTTTTTGAAATTTAACGGTTCATATTAGTATTTAAATATAAACAATCTTAATTGTTTAAACAACTTCTTAAATTTTAATGAATTATCTTTAAAACTTAGTAAATTTTAAATTGTTACTATTTATAGAGCTTGAGATATAACCATCTGAATATATGTCTACAATGCCAATTCTCAAAACCCCATGGCTCCATGAACAAAAATTACATAATTTTTTCCCGAGGTACGAGTCTTTTAAAAAAGCCGAATAATATGAACAGCACTATAAAAATCTCACATTCGAGAGAGTAAACTTATAGCATTTTTCTTTTTGTGTTTGACTTATATCTTAAAACCCACGTCCAATTGTTCTGTTGCGACATAAAGTGCTGTCAGATTTTGGAGCATGTCGGAACTATAAGTAGACGGAATATGGCTCATTTAGTAGTGTTAGTCTATGATAACATAGTAGTCTATGTGTTGTGGTGGTAGTTAAACCACAAACTACCACCGCAACACACAGAAATCTAAATCTATCTATAAAATCTATGGCTTAAAGTTTTAGTTTGTGTGAGATAGATTTACTGAAATATATATGACCCTTTATTTTGTTTTACTTAAATGATCTAAATGAAACACAAACTAATATTAGAGAGGGATCACCGGAACAGAGTTTTAGTGCATACTATACGTTCCAAATTCTCACATTATTAGACAGTACAATGTTGTATACATTATATTATTATGTGTGTCGTATCGTGATTAGATTATTTAGCAATTGGAAAATTGTTTTTAAGAGAGATCTTACAGATATGTAGAAAATATCTATTTTAAGTGTGAATTTGATCGTGACAAAGCGGTTAGTGGAATAGTAACTAAATTTGTTAAGTAAAAAATTTCTATGCATAATATACCTACCTAGCTTGATCAAAATCAAGCAATTTTGAGAGAAAACGTCGTAACTAGTTGTTCTTCAATATAATTTATTGATAACAAATAATACGAATTCAGTTTTATAATGCTTCTTCAGCCATAGTACTTGTTAGATATGACCAAAACCCACTCGTGATTTTCTACAAATATTATTAAACTATTTTGGAAAAGTATATCTAGTTCCAAAAGTTATGTTAACCGTTACAACAGTCTAGAAGGTCTTTATCAATTATTTTGTAAGAGCAAAGTAAAAATTTCAAAAAACCTGGGTATGTTTCCATATAGTTTTAAAATATATTCCTAGTGTTGGTTATTTGACTCATAACATTCAAAGAAAAGACTTCTACACGCAATTAATTATATATTAAATATTGGAATTAATACTTTTACTTACTTCTTAAACTCTTAAAGTCTTAGTATTTGAACATGATTATCTGCCATTAAGGCCTAATACCACAGTGCTTTCAATATATGTATCAGTTAATACAACGATACATGCTCCCATTTTGAATTCCAAAGACGTCTGTAGATACTTATTGAGGCTAAACATTCGAATATAATTTACTCTTTGGAAGGAAACGGGGCCCATCTAACACCTTCACCTAATATTGAACTAATAAGCGAAAGTTAGTCTGAAGCTGCAAAAAACTTAAGCTTTAACTAATTTGACTTAAGAATATTTATTCCCAGCCAAAAACCCTAAAAAGTACGTGGACTCAACGATATTAATAATACTTGATCCTTTGTTGCTTGTTAGTTCTTTTTTTTCACATTTATTGCAAGTAAATACTTGTAAATAATTTTTGAGAAAAAATTTTTATTTAAAATATATTCAATATTTTAAAAAAGTTTTTTTTATGTTTTTATTTTTCCGGAGAGTTTTACCAGCGAGACTACAACAAAACTAGCGAAGAGACCATAATAGGTAACGTTGTACAAATTAAGTTTACTCTTCATCACTTCATACTCACTTACTCTGATTTTGAATTCATGGCATCGGTGATTAACATCAGATAGATGATGGTAAGATAACCTTTGAGGACGGAGGGCATACATAACATCTGTTGCCGCTCGCATGCCACTTTGCACAGCACCGCCCAAACAACCGCGATACCATGTTGCAGAAGTTGAAGATGATGACCAAATAATGCGTTTAAATGGTTTCGTGAATGGCTTAGATGGTAAGCATGTCAGTTCATACATCTTTTCATGATATTCAATAGGTTTCAACATTTTTCGTCCGAAATGTACTGAAAGTGCTTGCAGCACTACATTTCGTGAATCCTCCAAACCTTCTTCATGTACTATAATGCCTGAGTATAAATTTTTTTTATATTCATAACCAATAATAAATGGATCACCGCTAACAAAACTTCCTGAATAGCCTTTCTCACGCCAATGACCATCAGGATATTTTGCAATGAAACATGTAATAAAATGTGGTTTCGTTTCCACACAATGTGGAGTGAATTCTTCTGGTAATGGTGGTTCAAAAGAGATTTCATTTATTTTGTTGTATGGAATGGCTATGACAACAAATCGGGCATTATATTTTTCTGGTTGCTCCGCACATGTTACTTCAACCCAACGTCTATTCTGTCTTATTGATGTCACTTTACAATTAAACTCCGATCTCACATATTTCATTTTGTTAGTAAGTTGATCAAATAATTGTTGACTTTGAAGCCCCAGCAATGTATCAGGATGTTCAAAGTATCTAAAATACCACTGTAATTAAAATTTGTAAATAAAAAAATAACCACTGATAGTAAGAAACCTACAAAGTTATTATATTTAAAAGTCCTCCACAAGTGTAACAGATGCTCATAAAGTGCAGGTATGAAACTTGTCGCGCATCTGCCCCAGTAACGATTCTAACTACATTGGACATAAAAAGCCGTGATTTGTTGAAAAAAAGTCGATTACATATATTTGAATACATTGAGCGGGACTCATGATCCACACTAATGACAGAGAGATAAGATTTGTTCACTGAAAATATTAAAACTCAATTGAACTGCACACATTTACTCACTCAAAACTGCCTGGTCTAAAATAACCTATAGTTAATTCCAATTCATCTATATAGCGATTAAGTTCGAATTTTACCAGATAAGAGAGAACACCTTGGTCAATATCCCAACAGCGCTGTAGGTCAGGACGCTTTATTTCTCTCTTTTGTACTGGTACACCTAATTGTTTCATAAGACTTCGTATATGGTGCTGTTTATCACTAAACCATTTACCACCTATATCTCCAAGTTTAGTGTTTCCAACCTGACCACCAATGACAGTGTTTGCTTCCAAAATTTGAATATTTAAGCTTTCATCTGTAGTGATTAATTTATACGCGCATGTCAGACCTGCTATTCCCCCACCTACTACTAACACGTCTCGTATATCAGATGGTAATGAAACATTTCTTTCAAATATTTTAAAATATTCAGTTTTCGATTTACGTTCTGGCTCTTCCTCTTCCGTTTCCATATTAATAAAAAATAGATATAAACAATATTATTCTAGAAATTACATTTTAGGGGAAAAAGTTGACAGTAAACAAAATGCTTATGTAAAGAAAATACTTTTGAGGTTTTACTCATTACATTAGATTTGTTGTTGTTGTTATGGTTTGAGTTAGTGCTATGGTTTGAGTTAGTGCTGCCCCACACTAAGCTTTAACTATACTAAAATTATTATCGTTTATTTATCTTTTAACTAATGACGGATCGTAGGTTAGCATATCTTCCTGTGCGTCATGAGAAGGACTTAAGGTTTGTTAGGACGGGGGTTGGGCATCGTATCGACTTTTGTGAATAATGGTAAGGCTCTGTTCTTGATATATTTTTACACTGAGTCGATCCTTAGATCTCTATGCATGTCTGTTATATATATATAATATACATCAGATTTGCTGTAATTATTTCTAAAAATGAATTAAAAGATTTACTCAGCCTTCTCTGCGATATAATATGTTATATGTGATATATGATATACGATGTAATAATTGAGTGAATTTTTACTTATGATGTTAATAAAGGAATAACTTTGAGCTTAGTTATTAAGTAGAATTGGAATAGAATAGATACTTAGACTACCAACGGTTTGCGGAACTAATAATCAATATTAATATTAATATTAATATTAATATTAATATTAATATTAATATTAATATTAATATTAATATTAATATTAATACCGAACAGTTGTCGAATACTTGGATAATGGAGAATATAAAGCGCTGCAAGTTCTCACCTCAGTAACGATGTTAACCCAAATAGACCTCTATAACGCTCTAAATTCGACGGGATGGATTTAGCCTATACTTTTCTATATTAGGGGATCTCACGAGGAATGTGGTAACAAAACGGCGAAAAATCGCTAATTGAGGTATATGAATGTTATATGATGGTCTGGCACTGCACCCAACTAACGGTGTTCTAGTGAAGAGCTAAGCCACAAAACATTTCTCTAAGACTTATCGAGTTTCTGTACTTTGGAAGAAGTTTCGTGCATATAAGAAGAAACAAATTTCTATACTCATTTAAAGTGTGCGCAAGTATGGAAAAGAATACATATACATACACAGTTTAATCAGATGGATTTGCAATAAGATTGATGACTTAATAGAGCGGACAAGAATAAAGTCCTTCTGTAATGAACTTGTAAGAACTAGACCACTGGATACATAGGTAAATCTCCAGAGTATCTGGTGTATCATTTTCTTTTTCGTTAGGAATTCTCAAAAATTAATTCTGATATGTTTAATATTAATCTCCACTTAATTTGGAAAATATTTATTGAAAAGAAGAAGATTCGTTGTATTTTTATAACTTAAAAAATATACAAAAAGCACCAAACACTTTTAATTTTATTAATGTCAACAAGCTTTTGCTTAACAACGAAGCAATAAACACGGTTATATGAGACTGAAAGCACTGCCCGATTGGTTATTTAAAGGTTGGACGACCACAATATTTTTTTATGAAATTACAAACTCCTCTAGTAAATATTTAGTACTTAAATTTTACACATTACGTATTCGGCAAATTGTATCCTTAGAACATCCGAATTATATCTTTCTGATATGATATAATTCGGTATATGAATTCATATAACCATTCCACTTTCTGGAATGGTTATTAAGAAAACTCAAGAACAACTTAATAGAATTCTTCAGAACTTTTTTAAAATTTTATTCTTCATTTTTTACATAATTTATATATATTTATATATAATCTATACATATAAACCACATAAAAGGAATTCTTTGTTGGCTTAAGGTACTTGTCCTTCTGTGGTGATCACTTCTGCAACAGCTAGATATTTTATCGTAAGGAAGTCATATTTTCCTGGCATTATGTATTTTTTTTAGGATTAATTCAGTATATTTCTTAAAAATGAGATGAGAAAATTACCGGGCCCGGTAAAATGAGATAGCCCGGTACTTTCATGACCTTTATAGGTGTTATCATAAACTGTTTTAAAGCACAAATTTTGGTTAAAATAAGGTCTAACTTAAGGGAATATTTAGTTATCATACACTATATATACATTGTGACCGAAAAGTTTTCGGGAAATTTTAAATAAAACGCAAAATTCTTAACCTTCATCAATATTTATTTTATCTCCTTCAAAATATGCTCCATTAGAAGCGATACACAAATGCCAACGTTTTCTTCCAATCATCAAAACATTTTTTATAGGCGCTTTCCGGTATGGCTTTGAGTTCCCTCTGCGAATTCTGTTTTACGTCTTCTATGGATTCAAAACGCGTTCCTCTGAGTGGTAATTTGAGGTTGGGAAACAGGAAAAAGTCACACGGTGCAAGATCAGGTGAATACGGTGGCTGTTCGATGGTATTTATTGAATGTTTGGCCTTAAAATCGTTGATAATGTTGAACAAATTGAGGTGAATCGGAACAAGCCGGGCGTTGACACGTCGCATACACAAATTGTCCACCAAAATCAAACGAGCCATCTCACGACCGATGCCTAGCTCTCGTGCTATCTCTCTAACACTCACATGAGGATTTTTGAACACGATTTCCTTTGCCTTTTCAATGTTTTCGTCGGTGGTAGAGGTCGAAGGTCGTCCAGAACGCGGCATGTCTTCGACGGTCGTACGACAGTCCTGAAAGGCTTTGTACCACTCATAAACTTGAGTTTTCGATAAAACTGATTCCCCATAAGCCTTTTGTAGCATTCGCAACGATTCTGCACACGAAATTTCGTTCGAAAAACAAAATTTGATGCAAACTCTTTGTTCAATATTTTTTTCCATTGTTTTTTTCGCAACGCACTACTGAGGTGAACTGGTTTCAACAGCTGCCGTAAACGAACTGTCCGACAGATCGCGCTTCATTTTTGGCCATTAGTAATTAAGGACAGTTGCTGCCAAAACTACATAAACTTAAAATATCGAAAAATATACAGCGCGCGAATTTTAAATGAGAATTTCCGAAAACCTTTCGGTCACAATGTATGTACAATATTATGCATGTATGTTATTGGTGATATCTAGATAATGTTTTTTTTTTAACATAAAACATAATAGTTTTTAAGTTTAATTTATTTTTAATCTATATGTTGTATCATATTACCATTCATCAATATATGGATTTAGAAATGGCATTTAACTAAGGACTTTAATAATATTGCCTAAAGTTTCGATTTATTACTTAAAAGGTGCTAAAAGGTTCCTTAAAAAGAAAATTGTTGTTGCTTTCAATGCAAATTATAAAATTGAGATTAAGAAAAAAACCAATACGTCGTCATGATCCGTCATGATTCGTTATGTCGTTCAAATTTCGTCATGAGAGCCGAGGCTATCTGTACCACGTCACTTAGATAGAGTAGTGTTGTTCAATAATAAGTTTCATAATATGTGCCTTTTAGGAGCAAATTATTACAATTTTAATACGTTTTGGAAAAAAGAATACCAGGAAGCAACACTGGTATCACACATTTCCTTTTAAATTTAGGCACAACCAAAAAGTACAAAGAAAGTCATTTCTGAAAATAGCACAATATAAATTTCAGAATAAAACATTTAAATAATGTATTATATATAAGAATTCATTCACCAATTCAATTTAAAAATCAACAATTAACCTTTTTAACATCAACTTTATCTAACTTAAATAGAGAAAGGAAGAGCTCCTCATTAAAATCATTCAAAACGAAAACTTACTGTAAATAAAGCAATTAAAGCTTTTAAGTTAGAGAAAGAATTTAATATTGGTGGTATAATTGAATCTACCTTAGTATTCTATCGACAATTTAAATAAAATATGATTATTTTGAGGTAAAAATTAGATTGACTATTACAGCAATTATATGGCTCTCACACTCAACATTTATTGTTTGGAATATAATGAGTTAGATACACTCATAAAGCATGTTACCGACAGAGAATATTTATTTGATCGATCACAAAATAGATCGATACATATATCGAAACAATTAATATTAAACCTTATTTGTGACTATGAAATAAGATATATTAGAATGAGTAAACAGAAAAAAATCCAAATATTAAAAAAATCCAACTTCAAATACTTCTCAACATACAAACTTACCAATACCAGCGTTGATATACGCGGTTTCAAATATTTTATAAAATATATCAATATTCGGTCAATAAAAATCAATTTTTTCTCAAACAAAAAATATACATCTTACATGTATTCACCATCACCAACACCCACCACCCACCCCCCATATTGCCGCCTACCTACTACACACCATCTAGCGTCCACAACTCAAATCCAACTCCGCACCCACTTCCACCATCCAGCGCCCTGAGCTTACATCTAACTCCTAGTCAAGCCAAAATTCATTGCTTTAATAAGAAACAAAAAGACTTTTATGGAAAGGTTCGGTTTTTGATAAGAACCAATACATGATCTATGAAGGAACTATTAAAGTAAATTTAACCAGATAAAAAATATCAATTGATATACATATTTATACATATTTCATATATGTATAAATATATGTATATATATCAATAACATATTTTTACGGTTATTAATTTAAAGAAACTAAAATATATATTATTAATTAGTTGTTGTATTCAGTATATCAGCAGCAATAAATTAATTCATCATTTTTGTTAATAATCATAATTAATTAAATATAAATTTTAATTAATAATTAATTAACGTAATATTTCATTTATTCTTATTTAATTTTTTTTTCACTATTTATTAAATACTTGTGTTTATTATGCACTTTACGAACACTGTTTACAAAATGAATTTAACGTCAATATAAGAAATCAACGACTTGCAGCACTGGACAACTCTTTCCATTATGTCTTCGGCACAAAAAAATTTTTCTCGAAAGCGTATGAGAAGAAATTTGTTTTTTGAAAGTAACAAAATGTCTTCTTATAATAATTTGTCATACAGCGAAAGAAGTAGAATCCAACTGATTAATATAAATCTTTCTAATGTTGGAGAGCGATTTTACAATACGTTGTGTAATCTAATGAGTAAACTTGGAGACGTGATAATAAAAAAATCATATGACAATATATTTGAAGAAGTCACACGCTTAAATCTTCCCCCAGGTATATCATCGCAGTATTTCAAGGCATTGACAGCACTTGACGATGATTTGGAATCATTTGATGTCGAAGTAAAAGACTTTATATTATTTTTACGCAATGTGATATGGCATACTAAAAGTACTGTTTTGCAATTGGCAGAAGAAAAAAATAAGCTAGAGTGTGCATTCCTACGCTTTCAGCAATCGTTGAGACTAAAAGCAGGCAAAGACCCCATTCTAACTCAGCTTCGTACGATCTTTAATAAACTTAGTGACATTGTCAAAACTTTCAACGGCAAAATGCAGAATTTAAGCTACGCAAAGGATCAAGAGAAATTAACCTTGATAAACAATGGTATTCCTAACACCGAAAAAGATGTAGACCTCCCGGAATGGATGGGATATGGTAAGTAAAACAATTTTAATATATTTGCTTAATGCAAAGACTCTGTTCTTCCCAATTAGCCAACCAAAACTTGACGATTATTGTGGAAGGCATAAAAGATATAGTGTCACTTTTTGAGAAACTGCTAGCTCAACTCACTTCACAAAGTTTTGTGAAGTAGCAGTTATGACAGCAGAAGAGAGGCAACGTTGGTCAAGGAAGCGAAAATTGGATTTAATATTACATCGGCATTTATATTACATTTAAAAATGTGTTTAACAATATATAATACTCAAGTTTACGTAAAAATTTGATAAAACAGAAATTATATAATTTAGATGATTATGTGTTAATTTTATTTTGCTCTAAATATCATAAAATGAAAATGTACCATTTGAGTGAAATTTCCAGCATTTAATAAAGATTTTAAAAGGTCCCAACCAACTCTATTAACCCAGATTTTTTGTCTAAATTACATTGACATTGCTTTCAACGAAAGACTGACTTTTACATTAATAGATTTCACTGATTTAAGAAAATATATATTTGAATCAATTTATGAGGAACTAAATGTCACTCAATATCTTTGCTAGAAGAATTTTAGACAACTATGAAATAAAACTAAATAATTTATGAAAAAGTCTATATCGAAAATGTGTAGACATCAAGAATCTGTGGTGGTTACAAGTCAAAGTAAATTCTCTACATTCAAGATAGTCTGTACTAAGTAGGTATATAGATTCCTTTAGCTAACAAATTTTTTATAAGAACATCTTACCCACAAAATTAAGAGTTAGGTCCATCATGGTCAAAAGATTTGGATAAGGAAAAATAATTATATTGCAAAATTTAAAAGAGCACCAAATTTCATTCAAGGTTCCGCAAATCCAACCTGTCAATAAATAAGTAGATAGACTTCTCATGCTAGCTTCGAGGCTACATATAGATACTAATATTCTAAGTTTTACGCGTTTGGCATACCGAAGGTTTTATTCGAACGAAGTGAGATCATTATTTCTCTGGTAGTAAGAAAGCGATTAATATATTTGATTTTTTTGTCCTCTATTCAAAAAAATGTATTTTCCCCATGGAATATTTCGATGAATTTCCATATAGTTCGCTGCATTAGAAGACATTAAAATGCTTTAACTGCATTGCCAGCAGAGATAAATATACTTGTATCTCTAAGTCCCTTGCGTATATCAATGGCTGCATTTACAGCATTTGTTTTTTTTTTGTTCAACCTATTCTCTGGTATGCCTATTCCAAACTCTACGTCATATTAGTGTATAAATTAAATAAAATTAAGGAAATTATTTTTATTGACTTCTTAATCCATACCGAATATTAGCTTCTTAATTCCATCATCCAACCATTTCCAATAAGCCTTATTGGTGATCAGTTAATAAAAGTTTATTGATGAATCCATATCGATATCGATGCACCCATCTTGTTTTCAGACAATCATTTTTAATAACAAAGCAAATAGATAGCATGTTTCGCTATATTTTTCACCGAATTTGCAAATATCAAGCGTACTTGATATCCCATCCTTCAGAGGCTGCAGCTATCGGAGAATATATTAATTAATGATTAATGATTAATTTCAGATTTGTTTCTACTTAGAATCGCGTTATTTTCTTTGCTTTTAACTCAGCTGAATTTCGGATCGTATTTAAATTCGATTAATATAAATACTTCTTCAATCGCATAAGTGGATATACGAGAAAATGATCGGATGTTATGATTGTAATTAGAAAACTCGCCTTTACAAGCTTATCAGCTTGTACAGTACCATCAAATCTCTCACAACCAGCTATCTATTACTACTTTGAGAGCTTAAAGGGCTTAAAGATATTTATATTGTTAATCCTGAAATCAAACCGTCTTGTGTCCTTTATTTTTCTTGCGTTATAAGATTCGCCTCTTGTGTTTAAACATATTTTATGCCTTATATTTTAAGAGGCTCTATTCTGTCTCATTCGCTATTGTATAGAACTCGACGCTTTTTATCGGAAATTGACTTGTTATTTTATATTGAGATAAAATGATGTAGAGATCTTATAGAGTTAATATATTAATCGTTCTTGTGTAGTTTCTCACATCACTTAAATTGATTTGAATAAGAACTGGCAAAGTCGTTTCTTTCACTAAGATATTATTGCTTAAAAAATGCTATTTTATTAAAGTAAAATTCAAAACATGAAACAAAAGAATTCAATTTTTAATGAGAAATACTATATATAAAAAAGTTAAAGCAGCAACTTTACGCAAGCGAAGTAACCAAACTACGAACCTGACAAAATTAAGTACGTTGACTGAAGAACAGAAAGACTAAAGGACGATTGGTCTTAGTTATGCATAGCACATAGACAGCCCTGAAGTTAACAGATGTTTCAAATCTAAACTTGAGATTGTTGCACATATAGGAACAGTGAGTGCATGCAATTGCAAATTGTTAGCTAAAAGTTGCATTTCCAAAGTCGAAAAGCTTGAACCATTAATGATGCAGCAGCACTAACAACAACAAGAAAGACGCTTTTCCATGCAACTGCGGAATTATTTCTTGAATACAAAAGAAAGAAATTGCATTTCTAGTGTCCTTATTCAACATGTGCACATCGGGAGCGGAAGGAAGCAGTTTTATATGCAGCTACTAAAATTATTACAAGTGCGTTTGGAAACCAAGGAATAAGGATGAGCACTTGAACAAATGGTATTATATTAAAATTATAAGCAGCCAACGAGATGAATTAGCAAATTCACATTTGCATTTAAAATATATGAGTTCCCAACATCCAGATCTGTTGTTCACTTCAGATATTTGTATTTCTACGCGAAACTTAATATTTTTTGAGAGCGATGTGCTATGCAAATACTTGCAAACTTATTTATGTATGAATAAATAAGTGCGAACGAGGAAAGTCTCTTTATAGAAATGTATTAGAAACTCAATATACCCTCTATTTTTTAAAATGAATTTACTTGAAACTTAATCATTTTATTAAGTTTCAACGTTTATTACATTAGTCTAGGAAATCCAGCTGTAATCGATTATTAGCGCCTGAGTATGTTATGACGAAGTAGTAGTGACATATCCACGGAAGCAGGATGAGGCTAGGGTTAAAGGAATAAATCCAATCACCTTCTCTTTGACAACAAAATCTACAGATAAAACACTGCGAAGCTAATAATGAAAGAAACTTATTTATTGGACATTATATCGCTGGCAATGTAGCCACAATCTTCACATTTTAAGAAAAAAATAATCTTGTACTTAGTTATATACTTATCTATGAATGAAAACAAAGTACCTATTAGCTAGTATTCTTCAATGTTGAAGAAATTCAGGAAGTCGGCAACTATTGAAAAGAGTTAAGATAATAATATTTTTGATATACCATAAGTCAAAATCGAACTTTTATTTTGAGTTTATAAGCAACGGAACTAATACTTAGCTTTACTAACATGAGCAGAACTGTTTCCCAAAAACAAATTTGTTTCAAGTTATATGACATAAAAATTCGGTGCAAATAACAAGTCAATAAAAAAGTATTGCTATTGAATACTCATCTATATAGGCTCCCTTAACAGTTGTACACAGTGCTACGAATGTTTTTGTTTACATTGCATTGTTTCTTTTTTTAGAAGGTTTTATCCTACCCCTCCGAATATAGGTATTCTTCAGACATAATCTTGTAGGTAAATGCTAATTCTTTCTCTGCAGTAGCCTTTTCAATTTAGTAAGTAAAAAAGAAGACACTTCGGGTCAAATCTGAAGAACATAGTAGTTGAGGAAGCAATTCGTGACGTCTGATACTGTACATTGTCTAGATGAAGGTTTATTATTTTCTTTACTATGTGAAAATATATCAATAATATGTATGTTATTCTCACTTTTTCCTTTACCAATATAATTAATTAAAGTTTAGTCTTCCACAACCTATTAGAAGCAAGCCAAAATTGTGTTGTTTTTGGTTATAGGATATGGTCAATATATTGATATATACATATATCTATCCACATCTATAATAATAAATTTAGATTTCATGCAATCTTAAATATTGTCCAAAAAAGTAATCCTTTTTATTTGACTTAATCAGTTATCAACTAAATTTGTTATTTGAACACAGCTTAGTACCCTCGCATTTTCATTAAAAAATTATTTATTAAACTTTAGCAAACATATGTATAAATTTGCATTTATTTATGCTTTAATAAAACACGAAAATGAAAATATTTGAAATTTTATATTAAATATGTACACCTATTACCAGGTCCGCCGACACATATCCAATTCGAAGGGGTTATCAATTATATTTAGTTATAAAAAAAAATATTGGTCTTAAAAAGAAGTATGTATGTAATATAAATCATTATTAAATATTTTTATAAATATAATCCTTCGTTTCATTTGCGAGGGCTTCACCCCCTCGACCCCCTTGGCTACGTCGCTATTTATTATGCTATGCACATTTGAATATTCGCATTCACATTGGCATTTGTTGGGATTGCAACTCCGTTTCCAAATAAAAATCCTTCAACATAATTTACATCAAAGTTCAACGTATTTTCAAGTGATTTTATGTTACAAAAAATGTTCATACCAGCTTTGTGCTGTAATAAATCATCATCACAACGCGGTGCTCCAAATTCCCGCATGCACATTACTGCAACTGTTTTCAATCGCTACTACAGCACCGGCGACAGAAGTAATAACAACCACGGCAACAAAAATTATTGCAGCACATACATAGGAACTACTTTCATAACAGGATCAACAACATCATCCGGTATATAAGAGACATATCCAATCCTGTGGGAACGCTTCTGTAAACAGGCAGGTGAAAATTGTATTAATCACGAATTTGTCATACCGATGCCGTACGTTGACAAACACGCAAACAATCCTTGCGAAGCACATCAGTCATATATGTTCACCCATTAATTCAACACCCACAGGCCTACTTCCACTTCCCAACTCAAAGCACACAGTGCACAATGCACAGTGCACAAAGCACAGTGCACAGTGCACATTGCATAGTGCAGTTCTGGATACAGACGCATATTGTGTATATATGCAGTTGCATTCGTATTGCATTTTAATATGCATTTTATTGTTTTGAATAAATATGCAATGCTTCGTAAATTGGAGTTCATATATGAATATTAAAAATGAAAATATGGGAAATAAAATGCAAACAATGGTACCAACCAAGAACAGCACTAGTTTTAGAT